TTCTTGGAGGGGAGGGAAGTGTTTCTATTTTTCATTGTGCAACGAATCCCTGAGGACCACAAATAAATCCCTAAAAGCGTGCCCATTAACGTTAATGCAGTCAGAACAGGAACTGTTAAAACACCAAAGCAAGTAATGAAAACAGAAGGATTCCTGCCTTAATATTAGGATGTGCTTAGCTCTTGAAGGTGCTGATCTTACTGATAAGAACCTGTCAGGGAGGAGTGATCTTCAGACTCCTCCAAGGAGTCTCGAAGGTAGAGTTTGGGATGCTGGCAGCACCAAGTGGCAGCACCAAGGAGAGGCATGGGGCAAAGCGGCCTTGAACTCCACCACAATCTCCTTGGAATCACACATCCAGAAGAAGCCACCCCATTAATCTAAGGAAAACCAGTAGATTCGTTATACAAGAGCAACTTCAAATAAAGCCCCCTGGCCTTCCTTCTGGTCAGCTGACCAAATGTCCCCAAAGTAGACAGAAGGTCAGAGTCTGTCTCCAAGCCACCTTCAACTAGAGACTACTGAGGACACTTAGTGTCCCTGCTTTGCATAGCGGGTTTAGGAATAATATTTCCTCCCAACAAGGAACCTCCCAGAGGAAGAAAAGTGGGAGAACCCCTGGCCTACAGTATGAAACAGCTCTGCACCAGAAATCAGAAGACCTAGGTTCTGGCCTAGACCCTGCCCTTGACTACAAGATGGGCAACTAACTGGATCTTCTATAACCACAGTCTCCTCCACAAAATAAAATGGCTCAACTACCGAAAATCTCTACTAGCCCTTCCAAGTCTAAGTTAAAAAATCTACATCACCAAATGTTCCAAATGAAGACGGTGACAACTGTTTCTTAGCTTTTTAAAGATTTTTATTTATTTATTTGACAGAGACACAGTGAGAGAAGGAACACAAGCAGGGGGAGTGGGAGAGGGAAAAGCAGGCTTCTCGCTGAGCAGGGGGGCCGATGGGCTCGATCCCAGGACCCTGGGATCATGACCAGCACCGAAGACAGGTGCCCAAATGACTGAGCCACCCAGGCGCCCCACAACTGTTTCTTTAGAGCCAACTATTAGCCCCCAGGAACCCTTACTGTTTAGAACTTTCCAATGAATGGGCATATATTCAGTTCAGAGATGACACTGAACATAAACGAAGAAACTATTCTAATGAAGTTTCTTATTAAAATTAATCCATAGGATGTTACCTCTTAAAATTCTTCATCCTGAAATTGTCTAAAAAACAAAACACTAACACTCTGATCTAGACTGTGATTGAGCTTTATTTTCTTTATGCCCCAACGCTGCTCCTCTTTCCTGGAACTAGGGAATATTTTATGAATTAAAATAAGGCTTAGATAAATAGTAGAATTCAGTACCCTCTACAACAACTGAAAAGGTCTTTGATTTTTCATTAAGTTGATAGTGTCGACTCTATTTTCAAGAAATGGTTTTTCCTTTTTCTGCATTAAATACCAGTGACAGGCAAAGAGCAGCATAAAGAAAAACAATGGGTTTGGGGCGCCTGGGTGGCTCAGTCGTTAAGCATCTGCCTTCGGCTCAGGTCATGATCCCAGGGTCCTAGGATCGAGCCCCACATTGGGCTCTCTGCTCAGCGGGAAGCCTGCTTCTCCCTCTCCCACTCCCCCTGCTTGTGTTCCCTCTCTCGCTGTGTCTCTCTCTGTCAAATAAATAAATAAAATTAAAAAAAAAAAAAGAAAAATAATGGGTTTTTACCATGGCTCTGGTTGTGGTTTGGTTATTAACTAGCTGTGTGACCTGGCACACATTATTTAACCTTTCTGACTCTCAGTTTAAGCATCTGCAAAACGTGGATAATAGCACACGAGTTCCCCCTACGCTCCCCTCCACCAGGGGTTAAACAGGATAAGGCCAGGGAAGAAGAATGGACACAGTGTTGGTTCTCTCACTTTACTCTCCACATTTTCAAAAATATGGGCGCTCCTAATTAACCACGGGGGTGAGACAGAAATAAATTCCTGAAGTACCGTGTAGACAGAATCAGGCCCAAGCAAATAAAGCCTTTAAGCAAAAGTTAGGTTTCGAAGAGTCTACCTAAGTCGATGGGAATTGTCTTCTCTGAAGACACTGTTAAGTTCCTTCCCAGTTTTTAATGTTAAAGACAGGGCTCCTGGGTGGCTCAGTCAGTTAAAGCGTCTGCCTTCAGCTCAGGTCATGATCCCAGGGTTCTGGGATAGAGACCCATGTCAGGCTCCCTGCTCAGCGGGGAGCCTGCTTCTCCCTCTCCCCCTGCTCTTGTGCGTGTTCTCTCTCTCTCTCTCTCTCTCTCTCTCGATCACTCTGTTTCTCAAATAAATAAATAAAATCTTAAAAGAAAAAATAATGTTGGGGCACCTGGGTGGCTCAGTCGGTTAAGCGGCTGCCTTCAGCTCAGGTCATGATCCCAGGGTCCTGGGATCAAGCCCCGCCACGGGCTCCTTGCTCAGCAGGGAGTCGGCTTCTCCCTCTCCCTCTGCCTGCCACTCCCCCTGCTTGTGCTCTCTGTCAAATAAATAAAAATCATAAAAAATAAAAATAAAAAAATATTAAGGACAGTAGGACACAGTGCAAAGGGGGGACGGCGGACACTGGGGGGGGGTTACTACCAGTCAGACTCCAGGGATCCAACCTCTGGTGCACTGGGCCTATTTCCTCACCCATCATCTGGCTTGGAAAATCTGAAATCCTATCAGTTTGAAACTTCTATCAATCTAAACTGTCCCCTGCTTGTCTAACCAAGTGGAACACTACAAAATACAACTTTTTAAGAAACTGAATCATGCTTTAATCCAAATGAATTATACATTAATTAAATCATAATTATACATTCTATTACAGGTGGAGCCTGATTTCATCTGCCAATTAAGAAAGGGCCTCTGAAAAAAAAGAAGGGGCCTCCACCTGTACATTCAAAAGTGATTACTTCACCCTGAAGTGGTGGGTATTTTAGTAGCATAGATAAATAAATAAGTTAAGAACTGTGCCTGAATATTCAGGAAGCCTGTGAAGAAAACCAACCAAAATAAAGAGAAGAAAAAGATTCTGTAGGTAGTAAGAAGATTCTAGAACTGGTTATTTTCTTGACTATCACCTCCGTTTGGGGGGTATTTCATGTAGTATCGACATTACCCCTAGATTCCAAACTCCTCTCAATAAATAAAGTCACGGGGGGGGGCGCCTGGGTGGCTCAGTCGTTAAGCGTCTGCCTTCGACTCAGGTTGTGATCCGAGTCCTGGTATCGAGCCCCACATCGGGCTCCCTGCTCAGCGGGAAGCCTGCTTATCTCTCTCCCATTTCCCCGGCTTGTGCTCCCTCTCTCACTGTGTCTCTCTCTGTTAAATAAATAAAATCTTTATAAATCAACCAATCAATCAGTCACTCACTGGGGAGGGATGAAGAAGCGCACGCACCTCCAGGCTGAACTGCTCCAGCTCAGCTGCCCAGGGGGTGGGAAGAGCTCAACGTTTAGAAATATTCTGGTTAGCCAGGGTCACTCATTGTCCTCCCCCACTCCCCGCACAGCTGTGTGCTGCTCCTGGATTTACATGGTCGGGATGCACCCCCAAACTCTGCCTACCCACATGGATTCCATCCTTCAAGACTCTACTCCAATGTTACCTCCTCAAACGCCAAACAGGAAGGAACGCTAAGCTGATCATCCTGGTGGGGGCTGACCTTTCTCTTGGGGAGCCAGTGTTCCTGGGATGTATGTTTTGTCAACTCGGAACTACCTGGGTCTTGCCTTAACACTTGATCCAGATGACAGATTAAGATAGCCCCTCGAGAGCACAAGCCCCTCGGGAGCACAACCGCTTCATCGGTTAAACATCTTTTCTTTCCGAAAGCACCTATCCCCTTCCATAAGGTAATGACACAATAACATATCTGATCAATTAAATGCTCTGTAATTAAGTATAAATACGGTTTGGCTCGCCGGTTTCTATGGCACACTAAATCACCCTAGTGAGTTTCAAATTTCCCTGATTGGCTTCACGCTTCCTTGATGTCCCTGGACAGGCGCTAAGCAATTGTGAAAGCACCAAAAAGGTAGGGAGGCAAGGGGGAAGAAAGGGAAGCCGGGGCCTTTATAATCCTGTCATCATTTCCTGAATGATGGAACTTGCTGCTTCGGGGGAATCTGAAGAAGGGAACAGGAGCAGCGGGTGGAGGACGAGCCCCCGCCCCCCGCCCGCCCTGCGCAGCAGGACCCGGAGCCCCGGCCGAGCCCGCACCCACGTGCTGGAGCGCCCTCCTGTGGCCGCGCCGCAGTCCCCGCCGCTCCCGGCTCGCCCGCAGACCACGCTCCCCGCCGCTAAAGAAACAAGAGACGCAGAAAGTTTCCGAGCCAGGCGGGTTTGCGAAAGGTCGAAGCCAGGTCTGGGAGCCTCTAAGAGCGGGCGTGGCGGGAGCGGCGCCCAGGCTGGAGGCGACCGAGAGAAGTTCGGGCCCAGGAGGACTCCCCTAGGGCTCCGAGGTGCCCCCCAGCGGGGCTCGGGGCCTGGAGATCCTGAGGGCAAAGGCTTCTCCCGTACCCAGACCTTACAGCAAAACGCGTGGAGCGGAGCCAGAGCCCAAGCCAGGACGGGGTGCCTTCCCCCCACACCCCCAAGCTACCAGGACGCGCTTGGGGCGCTTGGGTTTGCTTTATTCATTTTATTAATTGGAGGGAGGGGTGCACCAATTCCCTCTGGTGCATCCGGATCCCCAACAATCAGGATTCTGGGTGCCCCCCAAGACTCCACCTAGAGTCTACCGCCCCACCCAACGCCGCCCTCCCCCGCTGGGGTGACAAGTGGAAACAGCAACTCCCCTTCCTCCTCCCCTCCAGCCTTCTGGCTTGGGAGGTAATGCTCCAGCAGGGTTTCCCTGACCGCCCGCAGAAGACCCCGCCGGCCGGGAGGCAGCAGCGGGGTAACACTGCGCCCTGGGGCGGGGGGTGGGGGACGGGAGCGGGAGAGGCCGGGCCCGGTGCGGCGCGGCGCTTACCTCGTCCACGGTGAGCGGCATGCAGATCCGGTACTCCTTCAGCAGCATGGTCCTGCCGGCCGCGCGCCCCCGGGGCGGGAAGCGGGGGGGGCGCCCCCTAAACCAACAAAGCCGCCGACCAGGCGCAGGGCAGGGCGCCCGGAGCCCTGCGCTCGGAGCCGGCCGGCGAAGCAGCCCCGGCGGTGCGCTCAGCTCCTAGCTTCCTCCTCTCCGCCGGAGAGCATGTCAAGGTTCGGGTCCGGGTGTTCGGGGCTCCCCCGCCTTCTTTCTCGCCGAGGTCGGTCCTCCCGGAACGCGGTGTTGCAAAGTCAGGGAGGGATCAGGGAGGGATCAGGGAGAGAGGGAGGGAGACCCGCTGGAAACCGCTCAGATCGGCAGCCCCGGGCGGTAGGAGCGGCCGCCGGATCAGGACATGCCCGGTGGCGGGCAAGGGAGGAAAAAAAGAGAGATTTCCGAAAATTAAAACGAATGCACAAAAGTCACCAGCTCGATCCGCCTCCGAAAGCAGACATGAACCTGGCGACCCCCCTTCCCCGGCGGGTCTGCCAATGCTAATGTCACCAGGAACACATTGCAGCCGGAGCTGGGGATGCTGACTTTTCCAGACAAAGGCTCGATCGGCTGCTCTCCCCGGGCGGTAAACAAGATTTCCTGCTCTTTTTAGGGCCGGTCCCCGAGGCGCTCCAGGGCTCGCAGCGGGAGAAAAAGGAAGCCGCCGCCGCCGCTCGGCTCTGTCGGGCTGGGGCCCGGGGTTCCTCCAACCTGGGCTCGCGGCGGCGAGGGGCGGGCGAGAGGAAGCTGGCGCCTTCCGCGCACGTCCCCTCCCCCGAGTCCCTCGGCTCCGCGAGCGCCGTGCGTGCCCGCGAGTTTGCAGCCACCGCGCCGGGGCCGGAGAGTCCGTGCGGAGCTGCAGTGTGCCTCGGGCCCGGGAGGTGGGTGCGGGAGGAGCGAGCGCCAGCGAGGCTGACATCAGCAGCGGCCGCGGTGGGGAGGGTAGCCCCATCCGGCCAATGGGGAAATGGCAAAGAATGTGGAGGATTTAAACAAAACAGCATGTCTCTCCCCGGCTCCTGCCAGACGGCAGGGCTGCCCCGGAGCCGAGCCTGGCCGGCGCTGGGGAGGATTGGCAAAGGGGGCTTCTTCCCTGGCTCCTTTATCCTTTGAATCTGTTCTCAAGATGTTCCCTGGGTGGCAGGGGTGCTCTGCCCGCCTCCCCCCCACCCCACCCCACCCCCGCCCGGCTAGTTTCTGGTTTCCAGGTGCAGAAGTGTTTCTTGACCTTTGGAGAAGCTCTTTACAAATGCCCACCCCGAGCGTTTTCCCTTTGATCCGGTGAGCAAGCCCAGCGCTGGAGTGGCTATGGGCTTTGGGAGCATGAGACCCAACTCTTGCCTGGCTTCCTGACTGGTTTCGGAGAGGGAATCCTGGATAACTGGGAGGTGCCACAGCGTGGAAGAAAATGAAGCACCCGACCAGAGGGAACGGGAGGCGGACGTAGCCTTTTCACCTCTCCTGGCCTACTCTGCTCTCCGACCGCAGGCTTCTCGGGGCAGCAAGAGTAGGTTTTCCTGTCAGCACTCCTAAGTTCAAAAAGTCACAGTGAAATGTCAATGAAAATGCCTGGAGTGGTGGTACTTCATCCATATTAAACAGCTCCCTCATTTTAACCACAAGAGGCACATTCTTCAGTTACTCAGGAAGCTGCGTGTAACTGCTGAAGTCTGTTTTTCATTTGTCTGGTATTTTTAAGCTTGTTTTTCTGAAAAGTTGCTGGATGAAAAATGCATCGTTTGCCTCTATGCAGAATAACCTGCAAGCATCATCTTTTCTCAGAAAAATATGTGTGCTCTACCGCCCTGCAGCTCCTCATAGAGCTCGGATGGTGCTGCAGATGGTCTCAATATTATAGTATTTAAAATTATGATTAATGAAGAAATAACCAGTGTAACTATGGTGGGCTGTGGCGAAAATCACCCAGATGGCTGGAGAGAATTTATAACTGTGTGAACATGATACAAAGCCTCATAGAAAAACAACACCCTATATCCAGCTTATATTTTAGGGAAAACTATTCTCCAGATAAATGCTTCCCAGAGTTGGCTCAGAAATATTCACAGCAACTAATTAAAGCTAAACCGAATTCCTCGAGGTGGAAAATCTAAATCTGACACTGTAGTGGTGAATAATAACACATTGAAAGCCTGTGATACGGAAAGCAGCTCAAGCTGTTTTTCCTTTTTTTTTTTCCCTACTTCTTAACTTGAAAACAAGTGTAGTGGTTTCGCTTTCTGGCACCTGATCCTCTTCCCAAAGGCAGCTAGGCAATGTGCTGGCTAAGCCACACATACACACGCACAGGCCATCAGAGTGTGTTGACATATTCCTAGCTTCCTAGACGTTTCCTGACGTTGATTCTGTAACTGTGTTTACTGAAGTTAATATTATGGTTGAGGAACTACCTCTCCTCATTTCCCAGACTGCAAATCACGCCCTATGTGCTTCTCTCTTGACTCTGCCAAGCTGCCTGAACTTCCTTTTCATTCAGTCCATCCGCATGCCTGGTCACATTAATCTTGTTCAAGCACAGCTCTAATCCTGCCACCTTCCGAACCTCTCACTGATTCTCTGTGGCCTACTGAGCCAATTAAAATCCCTTGGCAGGGAGATCAAGACCCTGAATCTACCTTTCCCCTGCTAGTCAGTTACCTTTCCTCCCCACCCTCCTGCAGCCAGGTGAGACAAATCTGTTGGCAAGAGAAGGCGTGCACTTTACCTTGACCCTTCTGCTCCTGCCATTGCCTTCACAGAGAATCCCTCCCCCGCTCCATCCCCCGTGACACCATTTTTCAGCAATTTGGTTTTGGAAAAGTGATTTCTGATGGCAGTGTGTTGGATGGGAGAGGACAGAAGGATACCAGAAGCAGGAGATTATATTATTAGAATACTAGAGGAGCCAGATGAGGAGGGTCTGAATTAGACTGCCCCAGCAGAAAAGACGGCGAATTTTAAAGATTCGGTGAGGACTTGAGGACGGTTTGGTTTTCACTACAACAGCGCTTGGGGGAGGGGAGAGCAAAGGGAGAGCTTATTCATTCATAACTCATTCACACAAAGGGAGGAGGGCGCCATCTACTGGTCAGATGCATTGTTTAAAGTGTTCTAAGTCACCTCGTCAGCAAGAGTCTGGCAAGAATTCTATCTTTGTTTCTTTTCAACCAGTGGAATCCGCAATATCTAGTTACAAAGACTTTTTTTTTTAAGATTTTATTTATTTGAGAGAGAGAGGCAGAGAGAGGCAGAGAGAGAGAATGAGCAGGGGAAGGAGCAGAGGCAGGGGGAGAAGCGGACTCTCCACTGAACAGGGAGCCCGACGTGGGACTCGATTCTGGGACTCCAGGATCACGACCCGAGCCGAAGGCAGACACCCAACTGACTGAGCCACCCAGGTGCCCTCTAGTTCCAAAGACCTTTGAAGGTGCTGCTATCATCATTAAGAAAAGTAGTAACGATCCATTAACAACGGTACAATCTACAGATACTGATTATCATATATTTTAAAAATGGGGTGGGGGACACAGGGCAAAAAGAGGAAAAAGTAATCAGTGAGGAGTGATATGAGCAGAAGGAAAAGAGTATTAGCCTATACACGTCTGTGACGGCCTATATCCTCGGATAAGTGACAATCTGTGAAGGTGGAGGTTCTTGGAAGGCGAGATGGGGGAGGTGCACATCAAAATCAATCCTCTACGGAGTTTTTCCATCCATTGTCTTCACCTGGATTCTGATGATGCACCCATCCCCCACACTGAAACCGCTTCTCGGTTTGTGTCAAAAAACTATGACCCACTCTGTAAGTAGCATCTGAAAGAAGAGTGTACCTACAGTCTTTATGACTTCAAATCATGTTTCATTCCTAGAATATCCCTGGTACCTCTAAAATATTACGGTTCTTTCCATCTTCCTCTTTCCTACTCACTGTATGTAAGATCTGTGGGTTTGTCAAAGCCCATTGAAAGTCCCAACTCTTACACAGAGCCGTTCTAGACAACTCTTGACCTTTCTAGACAACCTGGAACACTTATCTGGACTATTCATTTTGGTTCTTGTTTGCATGAAAGTGTGGCCTTTATATAGAAAATGTCATGTACAGTGCTAAAGTATTCCACCTGTTTTCTAATTGCAGACATGATTTTAAGCTTCCAGAAAAGACAGAGACCATGTCCTCTCTGTATCATCTGGAAAACGTATCCTGGTATAAGGGGTAGTGTAGGTACCCAATAAACATCTATTAGGTGTATATAATTAGTTCAGGGTTCTCAGTCTCAGAGCTACTGATACATGGTGCCAGATAATTTCTTGTTGTGGTAGTCACTGTAGGATGTTTAGCAGCATCCCTGGTCTCTACCCACTAAATATCAGTAGCACACACACACACACATACACTGCCAAATATGGGGGTGCAGAGGGAGGGAGGAAGTCCTACAGTGGAAAACCACTATATTAATGTAACATTAATCTTTTTTTAATACTTTTTTAAATGTTTTATTTATTTATTATTCATGAAAGTCAGAGAGAGAGAGGCAGAGGCAGAGGGAGAAGCAGGCTCCCCGCCTAGCAGGGAGCCTGATGCAGGGCTCGATCGCAGGACCCTGGGATCATGACCTGAGCCGAAGGCAGACACCCAACTGACTGACCCTCCCAGGTGCCCCAACATTCTTTAATCTTATCTAAATGTTTAGCTACTCCAAGAAGAAGCTTTTGGAGACACTGACTTCCAACGCATCAAAATTAGGTCTAAGGAGAGAAGGATAACACTGTTACATCACAGTAATATAAAGATGTACCTTCTCATTCCCATGATCTGCCTTACATTACCAAAGTATCCCTTGATGAAGGGCTTGACCTTAACCTTGATCACCTGGTGAAGGTCATGTCTGCCAATGTTTTCCATTGTAAAGTTACTATTTTTCCTTTTCCATTCTCTGTTCTTTGGAAGTGGGTTATTAAGTCCAGCCCACAACCGAGGGAGGGGAATTAAGCCTGCCTCCTGAGGAGAGAGTATCTACATATATAATATGGAATTCTGTGAGATTTGCCTCTTCTCCCTCATTTATTTATTCATTTGGTTATTTATATCAGTTGGACTCATGCATATTTATTACACTTTGAATAACAATTCAATACTATGTTAGTTTTGTTGCTCAAATTGTTCCAGCTTTGGACACTGGAAGCTTTTGCGGGTTGGTTCCTGTGTCCATGTCACATACCCCCCTTTTTTTTTTAATTTTTTTATTGTTATGTTAATCACCATACATTACATCATTAGTTTTTGATGTAGTGTTCCATGATTCATCGTTTGTACATAACACCCAGTGCTCCACGCAGAACATGCCCTCTTTAATACCCATCACCAGGCTAACCCATCCCCCCACCCCCCTCCCCCACATACCCCCTTTTTAAGGGTTATTTTTGAAAATCAAATGTTATCCTTTGCAATTAATTTTTATTAAATATTAATTCCAGCAGTGTGTGTTTTAAACACCTGTGTGTCTGACCTTGTTAGATACTAATGAAATGATAAATTCATTCTTACTACAACTACAGACAGCAAGTCCCAAGGCAATTCTTATGTGTAGACCCATTTATCAGGCTTCTATTAAATACAGAGAATGCCTTGGGGCGCCTGGGTGGCTCAGTAGGTTAAGCGTCTGCCTTCGGCTCAGGTCATGGTCCCGGGGTCCTGGGATCGAGACCCGCATCGCTTCTCCCTCTCCCTCTGCCTGCCTGCTCTGCCTACTTGTGCTCTCTCTCTGTCAAATAAATAAATAAAATCTTTTAAAAAAATACAGAGAATGCCTTTGATGTATAATTGCTTGGAGCTATGAGCTCATAAAATAAAAATTAATTGACAATGAGGTGGTATAAATTGCTTCACACAGAAAAAAAACCTGCAAGTTCTGTGGCCAAAGGT